TCTGCCATTATTCAAAGAATAAATTCGTTTTCCCGGGAGTTTGGGACTTTTGGCTAAAATTCAAAAAAAAAACTTTGATTCTAGCTTTTAGTACGGTGTTTCAAATTTTGCGGTTTTATGGCCCTGTAGGGAATTACGATGCGACAAACATTTTTGAGCGCATATTCTTCATATCAACCCCCTTCTCCTCAAGAGGTAGGCAATCTTGAGGCTTGTAGTCTTTTTACTTGTTAAAAACGTAGATTATTTAGTCTGTTTTTTTGCGACTTCTATCTATGGTTTCGTCAACAACATATGCGTTTCCGGGTGGTGATTTTGATGAGACGCAAAGCGCCATTGGGATTGAATGTAACATTTTGCTTTTTTTGCACCCCATATCCCCATCGGAAATGAATGGGCATTTAACAGTTGTTAGAATTTTGTTTTTAAAGCGAAACCAATACATGGTTTCAAAAGCTGGAAATTTCAAAATTTAAATAAGGGTTGGATCTGAGGAATATCTCACTGGCAGGAAAATAAGCAAATGCTTTTAAAAAAATCCTTGCAATTTAAACAGCAGAAAATTATATCGAGTTATGAAAATAATCAACAAAGGCAAGTTCTTCTTCTGATTTGAGGTAGCTGGTTAGTATTTTATGCACAAAATAATTTCGAATAGAATTCTCACATCAACATACAACACTAAATACGTTTGTTTCAACTGAATTTGCTCAAAAAGTGCAACAAGTTGGTAAGTTTTACAGAGCACGCTTTATCGCCTATACCAAATTTAGCCGGAGTTTTATTGGCCGACATATTTTGTTTCTGTTACGCTTGCTCTTACTTTAGCGTTAGGGGTATGTTAAAGCTGTCTTGGCCTGCATTTCGGTCTTTTTTGAAAGTGCCCTACTCTATCTGGAAGCTCAATTTGAGTAAAGGCAAAAATATTCCTAAGAAAGAAGCGATTTAAATGATTTAACATCACATGCAGGCATATATTAGCATTATTTATTGAGAGGATTGTTCCAAGAAATCGGATGTAATGCATGAAGGGTTAGAGTACTATAACCGCTTTTTGACTTAAAAATTTTTCTGTAATTTTTGATTATTTTTGTAATAATAGAACATTATCGTAAATCTTTATGTTGACTCGAAAGGAATTATTTCCTCACATACCCCGGGGGCGGCAACGTAGTACACGACGAATCGCAGCAGTTCATCCACATATTCAGATTAAGTTCCGGGATATTCTCACACTTCCCATAGAACTTTGTTGAGTTGCCCGGATAGAAGAACACATTAGGCTAGAAGACTGCAGTCTACCCAAAACGGTATCATTAATTACTAATTAGGAGAACTCACTTGCACTCGATCAATGTTATCTCCATTATCACACAATAGGCGAGCTAAGGAAGCTTTTTTGATTTGTTGTAGTTGTAGTTTGGTGAAGATGCCATCGTTTTCGTACCTGGGTTCAAGGATTTTTTCACAAGAGGGATAGTAAAATTAAATTTACCAAAATCGATCCCCGTCCCGAAGTCGTCTGAACTGATCTCCGATGATGCAAGCAAATGTAGGACCCATCAAAGCATCCGGTAAGCGTTTCTCGGCTACTCCTCCAACCCACAGATCGATATTTGCTATATTATTAAATAATGTATATGGCTGAGATTTATGGCAGAGCGAAGCCAACCTGGATGACCATAGAGAGATCTGAGTTTGGCACGCACGGAACCATCCGGAATATCCGCTGCCAACTCTTCCCAGGTTTCAGGTACAGATAGATTGCAGAATCGACGATACTCGATGTAGCTGTAAACTAGCTGTATATTTTTTTACTCTTAGAGAATCAAAACCGATTTTCCTGAGATGGACTAAGCGTCACCTGAAGTATTAAATAGCATTTGAGAATGCTCCGAGAAGAAAATAGCTTAAATATGTGTTTTCTTGATTTGTCGACCTCTCTATTCTTATGTTCTCTTTTGTTCTTTTTTAACTTTTCTCTGGAATGATGCAGAATATGGTGTGATTTCTCGTCACTCTTAATTCCTAAGGATTCCCTTCATTTGTTTTGCGATTTACAAAGCGCAAAACTCTTCGACTTCAGCGAACCCAAAATAAATAAAGCTCATGTAGTGACTAAAATGGCTAAAGCCAATGAATGGGCTGATAATATATGGTCGCATAGTATGTTGCAGCATCGAAAAAGTACCGTATCACCTGGGCAGGCAAAATCCCTTCACAGGAATGTTTGGCATAAGATAGAATGCATACAATGTGGCGCAAATCTGTACTTATTTTCTTTTTCCTACAAATTAAGCTTACCCTGGTAATCCA